TCTCTAGGTTTGTCATAGGTTTTCTTCCAAGGAGCAAGTGCCTTTTAATTTCATGGCTACAGTCACTGTCTGCAATGATTTTGGAGCCCAAGAAAATAAAGTCTGTATTGTCTCCATTTTTGCACCATCTATTTGCTATGAAGTATGGGGCCGAATGCCAACAATCTTAGTATTTTGAATGTTGAGTTGTAAGCCAGCCTTTTCACTCTCCTCTTTCATCTTCATCAGGAGGCTCTTTAGTTCCTCTTTGCTTTCTGCCATTGGTGGTGGTAGTTTAGTCGCTAAGTCGTGTCCGACTCTTATGACCCCATGGACTATAGCCTGCCAGGTTCCTCTGTCCCTGGGAGTCTCCAGGCAAGAACACTAGAGTGGTTTGCCATTTCCTTCTCCAGGGGATCTTCCCAATCCAGGTATCAAACCAGAGTCTCCTGCATTGCAGGCAGATTCTTTACCAATTGAGCTACAAGGGGAAGCCCCAAACAGTTTTGTCCCAGATCATGTTTGGAACACTTTTTTTCCATGTTAATACTGGAGTGGATAGCCTTTCCCTTCTCCAGGGGATCTTCCCAACCCAGGGATTGAACCCAGGTCTCCTGCATTGCAGGCGGATTCTTTACCAGCTGAGCCACAAGGGAAGCCCAGCATTCTGCCATTAGGGTGGTGTCATCTGCATATCTGAGATTATTGATGTTTCTCCTGGCAATCTTGATTTCCAGTTTATGCTTCATCCAGCCTGGCATTTCACATGATACACTCTGCATATAAGTTAAATAAGCAGGGTGAGACTTATACAGCCTTGTCATACCCCTTTCCAAATTTTGAACTAGTCCATTTTTCGATGTCTGGTTCTAAGTGTTGCTTCTTGACCTGCATACAGGCTTCTCAAGAGGCATGAAAGGTGGTCTGTTATTTTCATGTCTTGAAGAATTTTCCACAGTTTGTTGTTATACACACAGTCAAAGACTTTAGCATAGACAATGAAGCAGAAGTAGATGGTTTTCTGGATTTCCCTTGCTTTTTCTGTGATCCAACGGATGTTGGCAACTTGATCTCTGGTTCCCTGCCTTTTCTAAACCAACTTGCACATCTGGAAGTTCTCAGTTCATGTACTGTTAAAGCCTATCTTGAAGGATTTTGAGCATTACCTTAATAGCATGTGAAATGAGTGCAATTTGCAGTAGTTTCAACATTCTTTGGCATTGCCATTCTTTGGGATTGTAATAAAAACTGACCTTTTCCAGTCCTGTGGCCACTGCTGAGTTTTCCAAATTTGCTGGCATATTGGGTGCAGCATTTTCACAGCATCATCTTTTAAGAGTTTAGATAGCTCAGCTGGAATTCCATCACCTCCACTAGCTTCATTGGTAGTAATGCTTCCTAAGGCCCACTTGACTTCACATTTTAGGAAGTCTAGCTCGAGGTGAGTGATCACACCATCATTATTGAGATCATTAAGACCTTTTTTTGTACGGTTTTTCTGTGTATTCCTGACACCTCTTCTAGTTACAATGGAAACAAGCAAAGTAAGTGCCTGATACATTCAATTTCTAGTGGGAGATGGGTGACTCCCAACCATAGGACATGGATTTAAAATGCTAATTGGCTGTAAAAGAATGACAGATGTCCACAGCTGGTGGGTTTCTCCTGTTCCTTAGCCCTTGCACTTCTGCCTCGTTGTGTACCAAATAGCAGTTTGGGGTAAGTCTTCTCATAGTTTTTCCACAATGGCAGCAGCAGTAGAATACAACTATTCTTGTAATTATCCACACTAGTTATCTACACCTCACCTTCACAACCCTGGTGATTCAGGTACATAATGTGAGCCATGTTGAGATGTTATTTCCATTGTTCTATGGCATTTTACCTATCCCATCATTGAAGGCATATTGATTCCCTCCTCCTGCTCCTTTCTTATCACTATAATTGACAGTTCAGAATGGAGAATATACAGGGAAATACATTGAAAACTGACATTGAAGTCAGGGATGAATAACGAACACCCTGGTATCCTCCTAGCTGTCAATATATTTACCTCAAGCACTTTGCCAAAAGATGACTCATTATTGAATGAACCAAACATCTGAGATAAACAGAATTTACCATCTGCCATTCCTGACTTATCTTAGAGAGACTAGACAACCAGCTATCATGTTATATCCTGTAGACTTCTCCCCCCCCACCCACTTTCTATTTAAATTCAATATTAATAGGTACACAATGACCAAGAGGAATTCACATGACTTTCAGACCTATACGGTGAAATGGCCTAAAAAGGCTAATTCATTGACCCTACTTGCAAAATTGTTAACTCAAAAGTTAATATTTGCAGATACTTATTAGGGATTGCAAGTATATTACCCTCTTCACTCTTGTTTGATCTTATGTTTTCAATTTTTACTTCCTGCTTAAAACTTTCAGTGTTGTTAAGCAAAACCTTGATGAGATTTTAGAAGACAGTTCCCCTGCTAAAATAAACGGGGGAGCTGTTAAAAATGCCTACATCTGGGCTCACCCACAACCAATTAAGTCAGACTCTCCAAAGCTCAGCCCCCCATCCTCCTTCATTGTGCAACCAGGGGCCAAAAAACCACTGGTCTAGGCCTTGGAAGCATTTGGATATTGAATCAAAGAACATCCAGGTGGTGGCTCAGCTGGTAGCTGAACTTGACTTAGATGAGACAAGGCAAAGTATCAGGTAGTCTAAAGATAGCATAGACTTTACAGCAGGAAGAGGTAAATATTAACACAGGGCTGTGAGGAGGTAAGGAGAAGGCAAGGGCACCCCACTCCAGTACTCTTGCCTGGGAAATCCCATGGACGGAGGAGCCTGGTGGGCTACAGTCTATGGGGTCCCGAAGAGTCAGACACAACTGAGTGACTTCACTTTCACTTTTCACTTTCATGCACTGGAGGAGGAAATGGCAACCCACTCCAGTGTTCTTGCCTGGAGAATCCCAGGGACGGGAGCCTAGTGGGCTGCCGTCTATGGGGTCGCACAGAGTCGGACACGACTGATGTGACTTAGCAGCAGCAGCAGTGAGGAGGTAAAGAGGTAAGGCTGTAGGGAAAACTGGTGCCTCCTGCCAAGGTCACACTGTTCTATTCTTGAAGAAGAGTTAAAAAGCTGAATTCCACCCAAGGGTAGATGATGATGTGAGGTTGCTTAGTCGTGTCCGACTCTTTGCGACCCCATGGACTGTAGCCTACCAGGCTCCTCCATCCTGGGATTTTCCAGGCAAGAGAACTGGAGTGGGTTGCCATTTCCTTCTCCAGGGGATCTTCTCAACCCAGGGATAGAACCTGGGTCTCCCGCATTGCGGGCAGACGCTTTACCTTCTGAGCCATCAGGGAAGCACCCAAGGGTAGAATCAGCCTTAAAAATGGGCAGATGACTGTCTCAAGCAAATCAAACCATATGTAGGAAGATGGGTTGGAAAGGGTGTGTCTTGTCAGGGCTAGAGAGAGAGATCCTCAGGATGATAAGAGGGAACCAGAGACTTTGGTTTGGAAGGCAAGGCTGCAAGTGAAGGCAGTATCCTGAGAAGTGCAGCTCTCAGAAGCAGCAATGGCAGAAGCCCTATTGAGGTCCTGTAGGCTTAGGACTAGTCAAGTAAGCCACTGGGGCCTGTGCAGCTGCTTGCAGGGCGGTGGGGGTGGGGGGGCAGTTAGGGAATCTCCTGGAGCACTGGTAGTGTTATTTGGGAAGACTTCCTGGTTTCACTGCCTCCAGGTCTGATTTCCCTGGCCTTCTTAGGGATTGTGGCCCCTCTGCACCTCTTGAAAGTGTTAGTCGCTCAGTCGTGTCCAAATCTTCGTGACCCCATGGACTGTAGCCCTCCAGGTTTCTCCGTCCATGCAATTTTCCAGGCAAGAATATTGGAGTGGGTTGCCATTTCCTTCTCCAGGGACTCTTCCGGACTCAGGGATCAAGCCCAGGTCTCCCTCATTGCAGGCAGACTCTTAACTGTCTGAGCCACCAAATAAACTGCTGCTGTGACTAAGCCAACTGGAATAAGTCCAGTTTCAAAGATGAACTCTGAATGATACACAAATAGTCTTATTTAAGATTCATTCAAGTCAACAAGACAGACAACATTATTCCTACTGAATAGAAAAAGAACAAAAAAGTGAGAATTAGAAAAGAAGTTTCACCAAAGCCAGATAGCCAAAAAAGGGACAAAACTGAAGTCAAGTCCCATGTGAACGATCACAGAGCTCATGCCCATTTCTCTGTACAGAGCCTGGGAACTGGCCGCTGAGGCTGTGTCGGGGAGTTTGAACACCTTTTGATTTGGCATCCTTCTCCTTCACGGTTCGGCTGAGGGCAATGACTTGGGGCTCAAGTTTGCCTAAAATTTGCTAACAAACCTTTGCTTTCTTTTCAAGTTATTCAAAGAATGTGGGCTCTGACTGGATGTTTCCATGGTTTTTGTGTTTTGTACTTCATAATTTCCTAGCGATAAAGTCTTTCTGAAAAATTTCTTCCTTTTCAACACAGAACTTGCAGGAGAAGGGATTTTCCCCTACCCCCCAGTCAGTATCAAAGTGGTCACATGTCTGTGGCGTGGAGACCTGGTTTTAGAAGAGCTGGGTAGGGAGTAATGTCCAGAAGAGAAGAAACCAGGGGTCACTGTGGGCTCCCCTTCTGGGTGGCAGTTCACAAAGACCACCCACCCATAACCCACAGAAACAAAACATTTATTCCACGAACCCTGCAGCCAGAGCAGCTTTATCCAGCAAACCAACTCTAGTTCTCCTTGGGAAGGCCCTGAATTTAAAGCTGCAAGGGACCTAAAAAATCTCATTTTGCATGTGAGAAAGCCATTCCAGAAGGATTTTCCTGAAGTCGTGTAATTAGCGGCCTGTAAGGCTCATTGCTTTGAGTTGAACACAACAGGAACTACAGAAGCAGTTTATAATCAGAAGGGGGGGGGGGACGCTTAAGGAAAAAGAGCATATGATCTTTATGTATTTTATAGCCGGGGAGCCACAGAACGCACCGAAAAGAGTGACCTTATGAACTGTGAAAGCGCTGCAGGGACTCAGGGGCGGGAGAGCCACGAAGAGCGGGGTGGGCAGACAGGCTTCTGGCCAAGTGGACAGGCCGCCGAGGGGCCGGGCAGCCGGCCCGGGCGCGGAGGCCGGCTGGAGCGCGGCGGGCCCTCTGCGGCAGAGCCCAGGAAGGGGAGCCCGCCTCCCCTCTGCAGCTCGCCCTGAAACTCTGGGTCCCAGAGCAACACCGGGGAAAGCCATGGAGACGGCTCTGCAGAGTGAGCCCTCGCTTAGGGAGCGGTTTCGCCATCCCCTGTCCCCGGGGCTGTGGGAGGCTGGCTCCTCGCGGCCTCTCCACTCGTTTCCTTGCTCGCCTGCAGCCGCTTCAACCATGACGACACTGCGGAAGACGCAGCACACCCAGCTTTTTTCCAGTTAGCTGGGGGTGGGGACACGGGCGGAGCCGGCGCTCCCCTCTTCTCCCCGACGCTCCTGGCTCCGGAGCGCTGCGCGCATCCCAACAGCCTCCTCCCCGAGATCCCTCCTCTTACAAATGAGATCCTGCAACTCCAGATGCAGCTTTCAAATCTCAGTTTCAGTGTATTTGTGTTTCCTGTCTGCTGAATCAAACTAACTGCTAGTCAGTGTATTTATTCACAGTAACCGTGACGTGGAAAGAACAGGCACACACTGTAAAATCCAGGAATAGAACTGTCCGAAGAATGGGAGCAAGACAGGCAGGTCACACAGCCACTGTTCCAGAAGGTGGCAGGGACCCTGCCCTTCCTTCACTGGCGCCTCCACCTCCTCTGCAAGGGAGAAGGGGAGAGGAGCTGGGGGAAACCACTCTTGCTCCGCCCCACCCTTTACTTTATAGTTTGCAAGAAAAATAGGGTCTAAGTCAGTTACCCAAGTTTTGGTTGATTTTGCCTTTTGAAGCACTAGCTAAGGGCTGCATGGTCCTTCCAGGATAGATAGAAAGCTTTTTTCATTCATTCATTCCACAAATATTTACTGAGTGCCTAATATGGGCCAGGCAGCCTTCCAATGAAAAAACCTAACATCTTTGCCAGCCAAAGAATTTACATTCTCAGGGAAGAAAAGGAAAATAAAGGACATACCTAATAAATAAGTGAATTACAAGGTGTTTTAAAACCATAAATCACAGTAAGGGGGGAATCAGAGTGTGGTGGGTTCCTATTTAAAGTCCAGTGGCCTAGGTAAACCCTGGTAGGACCACACAATGGAAAGTGCCAGGCAGGAATGAGACCATCTGCAGATTAGTTACCCCTGCCCTACAGCAGTCCCTTAGGAATGCTTCTTTGTGTTCATAGATTTGCATAGAGAGAGACTCTGGAAGAGGGTGGCTTTCTTTCACTTCTAGAGTAGGATGGGAAGTGAAGCATTAATAATTCATATTTTAATAGAGCAAATAGAGCATTATAGCTCTGTCTTCCATTCCTAACCTCTGGAGAACTAGGGAAAGGGTTATGATTCTCGAAAACAGGTAGGAAGCTAGGAGAGGGAAAAGATGGTAAAATACAAAGCATTTTGTGTTCTGAGGAGCATAAGGGTGCGGAGGTTGCTTCTGAGAAACTTGGTGCGAGGTGGGTTCAGCTTTAGTGCAGAAAACAGCTATATATGGCATAAAGTCAAAGGATAGACTTTAATAACCCTAAATTAGGGCTAACAACAACAACCCTAGCTGGTGTTCATTGTGCGCTTACTATGGCATTGTGCACAGGTTTCACCGCCAATCAGCCTCTTAGACTCTGGCTTTTCTTCTGCTGGCGCTTCACGTGAGCTCCGTGAGGGAGAGGAGTTCCTCTGTTCACCGCTGTGCCTGGAACAGCGCCTCACACATGACTGGTGCTCTCCACCTGTGAATGAATGATTGCTTGGTGTGCCTGCTGTGGGCCTTACAGTGAGAGGTGGAGGAGGTTTTAGGCCCTTTATATTCTTCAGAGTGTGGCAAACATAATGATATGCCTCTTTATTCTTACAATTAACTGTTCTGCCAATGACTCCAGGCCTTCTTCGAGTGCCTTTCTTCTTACAGTGTTACCGCTTTCCCCTGCCCAATGGTGGCTGGGTGGGTGGAGGGAGAAAAGATGAAACTGAAACCAGGCCCCCAGAGAAACAGAAAATGACGGCTCACAGGAATTCTCGAGCTTGTCTTACAGAGCAACGAAGAAGAGAGTAGTTTGCTAAAACCCGTCTGCTAGTAACTGGCTTCACTGATTAAGCTCGCCCAAGTTATTTTGTTTTTCTTTGTCTAACTGCATCCCCTCCCAGCTTCAAATAGCCCAGTTGTTTTACAAGAATTTGGAGTCAGCTCCTGCCCAGTGTGAGCTGGTTAAGGCTGGTTGGGACCACCCAGCCTACAACGAGGCCTGTGCAGGTGTTCAGTGAATGGCCTTTTGACGTCAGAGGGCTGGAAAACTCCACCCTTGGATCCTTATGAGCGTATAACTTGGATGTGCTTACAGAGTTCACCAACTGTCACACTTTAGCAACCTCCTCCCTTTCTCAGTGCCCAAGAACGTCCCCCCCAACTTATCCCATAAGTACCCCAACCCTCTCAACCTTAGGAAGGCAGATCTGAGAACTGTTCCCGTATTTTCTCACTTGGCTGCATTGTGAGTAAACACTTTCTTGTCTGCAAACCTCAGCTTCTCGGTGTTTGGCAAGCTGCGCATCTGGCAAACACACCTGGTCTTAAAAGGAGAGGATAGGGGGAGGAAAAAAACATATCTTACCATTTATCCATTACCTCATTTTGTGCTTACAACAATCTGTTTTACAGAAGAGGAAGCTGAGACTGAGAAAAGTTGCCGGGACCTTATGGCAAGTTAATGCCAAGGAGCTCTGGACTCCAGAGCTGTGCCCTTACCTGTCACAGTAGCTGGGAGGAAAGAAAGCATATGTCATTATGTTGCATCACCTCCACTGTCCTGCTTGCCCCACCTCCAGGTGTGGGGCAATATTTAGGGCAGTTTCCTTGCTCTCTAGGGGCCTCTCTAAGAAAAGCATGCAAGTCCTTTAACAATGAATTCAAAGCAAGAGACCATGTTATTTTATTTCTTGGAACAAACAATGAACTGGGTTGAGTTCACTATGACTTTCATTGGCTCAGTGCTTGAGGAGTATTGGGTCTCCTCAAGATAATTTGGGAGCAGGTTACTGTTATCACTGTCTGGCATGTTTACTGCCTCTGACATTGTCAAGGGACCAGAGTTCATTAATGCCTGTCTTGTACTTGATGCGAAGCAAATCCCTGAGTGGGGAGCATCAGGAGAGTCGAACACTGCAGCAGAAAACCTCCTACTCCATCTGACTACAGTGATGTTGGCAGTTACTGTGGAGAATAACTGAAAAGTGATACTACCTGAATTTTTATATTAATTGTATATATACATGTAAATTAGTAGGTTACACACATTAATTCATCAAATACCTGTAAATTCACTTGCTATCTTTTCATGTAAGGCTACCCTTTTGCTTTGCTTTGATTATGGGTTGGCTGATGGGAGTTCTGTATTGCCTTTCTGGAATAAATCACACCCATGGTGAGTCACCAACTATTTCCAATTCGGGTTTCTTTCAAATGAATCAACAACCTAAAAACAATTTTCAAGTAAACTGAGTACAGAATACTTCTAGATTTGGGGGCTATTTCTCCCTAATGTTTTAGAGTTGTTTTTATCATATCTAATTTGATAGCAAGGTTTCTGTGTGTATGAGATTCAACTTTATGAGTCTTTTCAAAGCATTCAAATGAGTTTTTGTAGAAACAGTTCTCTTTTTTTCTATTTACGTGCTTTGAGTTTACCTATGAATTGATTAAATTACGTGATTATAGTAATAACACTCCTGGTATAGGCAGATGTGGGAACAGACATATGTTTGGCAAACTGAGTGACATAAAAGTTGGGGCTGAAGACCCCATGAAGGGCTGTAAGTAAGCTCAGTTCTGAGGGAGCAGATGAAACGTTAACTGAGGGAAGGTGGAGGGGCCTGTATGTGGAGAGAAGCAGGGTCTCTGCGGACTCTGTGATGCATGGAGAAGAGGAAATAGCTGATTCCTTGAGCCATTTTATCCTGATAGTTCTCCAGTTCTAAATTCTGTTGTGGTATATACAAGGATCCTTTTAGTAGCGTCCCTTTTTTTCTGGGATCATGACTAGATCTCTGTTCCTTAATGCTCAAAGGACAGAAAGGGAACAAGGACCCATCACCTGAAGACCACAAACAGACCATTGGAACTCTAAGGTGTCCGGGACATGGGGGTCAACACTGAAGACTTCCCGTCTGCTCAGCACTTTGGGCTGCTGCGTTTTTCCTAGGTTGTCTTCTGGATTTCCCTAAGTCCCTTCTCTTCACTCTTGAGGACTCTCTTCCCAAATCGTCAACATTTCTAGCTTTGCTCTGGCTTCTCTTGCCACTTGCTTCTCATTTTTCATCACTTTTTTTTGCTGCTTCTGTTTTTCTCCCACTTAATTCTCTTGGGCTTCTGAGTTTTTGACATCTCCATGGTGACTTCTATAACTTTCAGAGATCCTGCTCTCCCAGATGTGCTCTTTTATCTGAAGGAAGAACTGATTGCCTTATATCTTCTGTAACCTTCAGGGTTTGAATCTGCCCAGAGTCCTCACTCCCAGAGGCCTTGGGGGATATTTTCAGGTTTGCAGTTGTTGTGGAGGATAAGGGGTGTCAGATATCCGAGTAATATCACTTGACTTTTAATGCGTTATTATTATTATTAGCAGCAAAGTCTTGCCTTTGGAGTCTTTTGCTTATTTTAAAATTAGTTTGCATTCCACCAGCTCAAACTAGCTGAGCTGTGGGGGGCAAATGAGCCAAGGTGTTGTGCTAAATTTCAGAAAAAAGTCAACCTGAATTAAAAATTGACCTCAGGGGGTAATGAACATAATAAATGTTGTTATATAATTAAAAACTGATGATAGTGCTGATTTTAATGCTATCTAGAAAGTGCCTGAACATAGTAAGCAAATGTCCAATCAGGAAATCTCTTACAGTCCATTTTCTTAAGAGATTGGGAAACCTAAGCTTTGTCTAGTTTCTGGAGTCCCATGAGTGTTTTACCTCTTAGGTAAAGCTGGAAATAGAGATCACATTGGCCTAATAACAGGAGAAAGTAAAGTGACCCAACATGTTTAAAACACCAGGATTAATCTCAAAAATATACAAGCAACTCCTGCAGCTCAATTCCAGAAAAATAAATGACCCAATCAAAAAATGGGCCAAAGAACTAAACAAAAGACATACAGATGGCTAACAAATACATGAAAAGATGCTCAACATCACTTATTATCAGAGAAATGCAAATCAAAACCACAATGAGGTACCACTACACACCAGTCAGAACGGCT